ATATTTATAGTGCTGGGACCGGAACCCTCAGTCATTCCCAGTGCATTCCCAGTGAGGAGGAGCTGCCTGTGAGCTCACTGGGGGAGGAGCTCCATCCTGCCGTCCATGGATCTCTGATCTTTAAAATTTAACTTGGCTGCTCTGTGTTAATGAAGGGAATGAGATAATCCCTTGCAGGATGAGGAGCCAGCACGTGGAAAATCCGGTCTGTAACTTTGGCCATGGCTGGTGCAGAGCATTAGGATTACAGTGCTGCTGATATTGTAATTAAACAAGACAGGCTTGATCCGGGGGGCTGGGATGAAGCATTTCCGAGTAGAGGTTTGCCTGTGCTTGATTATTGGTTGTATCATTAAGGAAAACAGAGAACTCCTGGCAAATACAGTGTCCTGGCACCCTGTGCTGGATACTGGAACATTTCCCTGGAGAAGGAAATGTGGGAGCTGCTCTCTGACAGGCCCACAGGCATTTGGGGCAGAAATGAAGTATCCAGTGCAGAACTGAAAGGAGACACATGACAGACACCAGCATGTTCAGGAAGAATATTTACTTGCTTTTATTCTGGCAGGTTGGGGGAAACTGTTAGTAAATGGGCAAAGGATGGAGCTGAAACGGCAGCAGTAACCACAGCAACTGTTCCAGGGAGTCTGGGACTACATTCTGTCAGCATTCCTTGGAAAACTGAGAGAGCCTGAGGGGGTTTGTTGCTTTAGGCTTTGAAAATTAAAGTTCCAGGCTGTGTTTTCCTTCCCTAATGTAGCAGGTACTTGTTCAGTCATGACATGAATCAAAGACCTTGTTACAGTAACAGTAAGAATTCTTCCCTTGTTGATCCTGGGAGAAGCAGGGTGAGGGAAAAGGAGGTGCTGGAGCTGCTGTTTTATTTCAGCACTGTGTTCATGTGTGTAGGGAAAGGGCCAAGGAACGAGCGGCAGCAGGAGGGTGGAGGCGCTGGGAAATCTGCTGGTGGTTCCCAAAATATACAAGGAATATCTTTGAATATATAAGTTCTTTATGGGAGAAATTAAGCCCTGTGAGGGTCGTGAGGCTCCCCCATCCCTGGAAGTGTTCAAGGCCAGGTTTGATGGGGCTGGGAGGGGGTGGAACTGGGTGGGCTTTAAGGTCCCTCCTGACCCAAACCATTCCATGATTCTGTGGAAATAAGAGGAAAGGGAAGAGATACGAGGAATGGTGTGTAGTGGGGGAAGGAGAGGGCTTCAGTTAGCTCTACTGGATTCTTGAAATGTAGTTTGGTTTTACACCCAAACGTTGCATTTTTGGAGGTTCTTTAGCAGTGACACTCCCCCCACAGGCAGGTGTCTGTAGCCCAGGACATGCAGACTCCAAGAGGAGGAGGAACAGGTTCAGGGCTCCTGTTGGAGGCACTGAAGATCAGGACAGAACTGGGACACTGTGCCCCTCAGTCAGGGTAGATGTGCTTGAATTGACCTCTCTGGTTTGTTCCTGTCCCTCAGGAAGCAGCAGCTGCCTGTGAGCAGCAGATGCTTTGCTGTGCAGCCCCTGTAGGAGAACCCAGATGTGCCACCTCGGGACAATAACGAGCTGCTCTGTCCCTCTCTGCAGGAGCCAGCCCAGGGTCCCGTGGCCATGGAGCAGTACACGGCCAACAGCAACAGCTCCACGGAGCAGATCGTGGTGCAGGCCGGGCAGATCCAGCAGCAGGTATGGAAGGTGGGAGGGGGGCTGGGGGGGTCAGTGCTCACTGACACCCCCTTTGTGGCCCCAGAGGGTCACAGGAGCACTGAGGGGCTTCGTGACCCTGCCTGGACACGTGTTCACCTGACTCCTGGCACCTGCTCAGGGATCTGACTTGGCTGAAGGTCAGAGGAAACGTGGGTTTTATAATACAGGAATTATCAGATTAAATTGCAGGTGTGCAGGTTGCCAGATTTCAGTGTAGCAAGGAGTTGGCAGAGTTTGGGATGTGAGGAGAGGAACAAATCTCTGGAAATGGAGGAGACAGACTATGAACAGAAACAGGCAGTTGTCCACAGGAACAGTGTAGGGTCCCCTCCAAATTGAAACAGGTTTTGTTCAAGCCCACAGAGGCTTCCTCCAAGCTTCCTCAAAAGAAATATTTATTGAGATTCTTCATTTTACAACTGCAGGTGGATCAAAAAGAACATACAGTACAGAAATTAAACAAACCATGTAGCTTGGGATGAACTGATCCCTTCCAGAAAGAAGTTCCTAGTTCATGTTACAATGTGCAGATGAGCAGGGCTGGATTTTTAAGGGCTTATTGATTTTTACAGTTAAACTTCCCCCGTTCAGATTTTGTGATGTATTTTCAGATAAGTTGTGCTGCTGCTGAATTTTTGTTGCATCTTCTGTTTGTTCTAGTTCAAGGCAAGAGGAGTTTAATAGTTTGTCATGCAAAGGGATGAGCCACTGGATCATGTTCTCAGCGAGATCTGCTTTGCTTTGGCTTCAGCAAGGACCAGCTTCTCCCATTGAGTTTAATTAACTTTTTCAGGCAGAACAAGATTGCACTTGAGGTTAAAAAACTTTACATTAGGGTTTATCAAAAATACCTGCTTCCAGCAGACAACCAAAGATCTATGTGGTTTTATTGACACTTTCACTGTCAGTACATGCTCTTAAAGCCTGTGTTTGACATGAGATGTTTTTGTAAAATGAGTTGTTTTAACAGGCTGTTGCAGTACAGCTCTTAGGAGAGAGCTGTCCTTCCTCTCCCCAACGCTAACACAGTTACACAGATTATTTTGGGACTCTTACCAAGGAGGCTAAAGATAGAGAAAGCTTTTAGCTCTAACTGCTCTTGCAGCCTCTCCAGATTGTCCTTCAAGGTCAGTGGTGGGCAGAGATTGACACAGAGGGCAGAGATGAAGCTCCCACTGTGCTGCAGGAAGGGGTTTGTGGCCTTTGTTGTGACAAACCAGTGTAACCAAACTCTGCAGCCCTTCCCAGTGAGAAACCTGGGCAGTGAAGGGAGCACTGAGCAAGATAAAACCCTGAAACCGAGGTTTCACATTCTGCCAAACAATCCCTCCTGTCCCTTGTAGGTGAATTCAGTCGGGGTGTTGAAGCCTGTCTGTGGGAATTCCATCCGTAGGTTTGCTAAACGTTCCCACTCCTCGTGTTCCCAGAGCAGTTGTATGAATTTTACACTCACCCTCGTCGTTGTGTCGTGCCAGAGCTGTGCCTTTCCCTGTTTCAAGCTCTCCCTGTTCCTGTTCCCAGCAGCAGGGAGGTGTCACTGCTGTCCAGCTGCAGACTGAGGCCCAGGTGGCATCGGCCTCAGGCCAGCAAGTCCAGACCCTGCAGGTAGTGGTGATCTCTCTGATTGTGTTTCTGAGCACTGCATGACCCTCCCCACGCCACATATCTAATGCTGTGTTTGTTCAGGGCTGCAGGAGGGGCAGGAGCATGTGGCAGCAGCAGCACCTGTGCTGGATGCTGTAGGGCTCTGGGGTTTTCCATGGCCTTGGAGCTTGGCTGGGCTCTCCCAGAACCCCTGCTGCGTTCAGGAATTCCTGCTGCTGTGGTTCTGAAAGGGAACAGTCATTAAATGGGGCTTCAGAGGAAAAAACGTGCAGGTGAGGAAGTGACAGTGGAGATAAACCCCAAAGATTTCCTGTAGTTCCAAGGAGATGAGTTTTCTGATCTCCCCCGTGGGGAGTTCTGTAGTTCTTCAGTCCATGATAGGCAGAGGTGGTGGGTGAGCCCTGAGCTTGAGGAGTGAAACCTTTTCCTGTGATAGAAAGAGCACCTGGGGACAATATTGGCCTCTCTGGGATGGAGTGATCCAGTTCCTTATTTACAAATGACTAACACAGGGCAACCCAGGAGCAGTGGGAATCCGAACAGTAAATACATCACAGATGGAAAGAAGTTATTTGTTTCAGTGTGAAGTATTTTCTGTCTGCAGACCCCATTTCTTACCTCACACAGGCTTTACAGGGGCTCACAAACCCTCTTTAAAGCAGCTGACAGACCCTGGGCAACCCTAGCATTTAGCACTGCACTTTGCTCTCAGTTTTTTGGTTTCATTTAGTTTTGAATTCTTCAGAGCAGGAGAGTTCCAGGGGGCTGGAATGGTCTTGCCAGGTGCAAAGTGAACACAGCATTTTTTATGTTCAGAGTTAAAATCTGAATTGCTGGCTGACTTGGATTGCTTGGGTCCCTGTGGCCTCTGGTTGTTGCTATGTTCCCCACCCTCTCTTCATTTTGTCTTGCTCTAATTCATTAACAAAAGTCCTGGAATGTGTCGTTTTCCTTTCTGCTTATTGGATATTGTGCTGCTGCCTGTGCTTCTCTGTGGCTGACATGAGCATGCTCCTCCCTGTAACCCAGACCAAGTCCTGCTGATGTGGTGAGGGACGTGGATGTGACTGTACAGGCTGAGGGACAGCAGTGTCACAGCTGGGAGGTGACCTGTGGAGTCACCAGATTGGGGGTAGGACTCATCTCTGAGGTACAGCTGCATTCCCTGCATGTGCTGGGACCTCGCTCCTGAGGTGTGTGAACCCTGCAAGGTTCCCTCTGTTCAGGGATCCCAGAGTGTCCTGACTGTCCCAGGGATTCACAAGGAGAAACATGGGAACTCACTGACTTTTACCAGGTTATGTTACTCTTGTTCCCAAACAGCTCAGCTTCCTATTTCATAACTCATTTCACATTTAAGCTGTGGAGGAGAGCATTTTCCAAGATATATTTGGGGAAATGGGGGATGTGGCAGGTGAGGGTGTTTGAACAGAGAGGTTTTCCCCTTCTTTTTCTTTTCATGGACCTTTCTCCCAGAGACTTTCATGCCAAACTTACCATAGAATCCCAGACTGGTTTTGTTGGAAGGGACCTTAAAGCCCATCCAGTGCCACCCCCTGCCATGGGCAGGGACACCTTCCACTATCCCAGCTTGCTCCAAACCCTTCCAACCTGGCCTTGGACACTTCCAGGGATGGGGCTCCACAGCTTCTCTGGGCAACCCGTGCCAGGGCCTCCCCATGCTCAGATATATATTTATGTTTATAAATCCACTCTAAGCCTTGTTGGACTCAGAAGTGGCTGCTGCTCGTCTGCTTTCACTTTTCCTCCCTGAACTGCATTTTGTGTTGCTCCAGTTACAATTTTCACTTAATAACCATGAAGAGTTTCTCTAAGCACATCACATGCTCCGTGTCAGTCAGGAAATGGAAATGTTGTAGGCATGAAATTGGAGAGAGCTGAAGCCACCCCAGAATCTCCCTGTAAGAGCAGCTTATCCAGAGCTCTCTCAATAGGAACCCCCATTAAAGATCAGTAATTGTGATGTGGAGAATGGAGTTTCTTTTATTCCGCGTTGCTCTTGGGCTGTGCATGAAGGTAGCTACCGTGGCTCGAAAATCTAGTGCTGCTTTTCATGCTTTGTGGCAATTAGACTGCAAGAGAAGCAGATCATTGACTAAACCCCGCAGCACATCCCGGGGAAGCTTTAGAAAGCCAGGCTGTTAGTGCCTGTTGCTGGGTTTCTGTGCCCACCCTGTCGCTGGGGGTGAGCCCTGGAGCTCTGGGTGGCAGTGCCAGGGGTTTCATCGTGGCTCTCTCTGTTGCAGGTGCAGGGGCAGCCGCTGATGGTCCAGGTGAGCGGCGGGCAGCTCATCACCTCCACCGGGCAGCCCATCATGGTGCAGGCCGTGCCCGGCGGGCAGGGCCAGACCATCATGCAGGTCCCGGTGTCGGGCACGCAGGGGCTGCAGCAGGTGAGACAAACAACCAGGGCTGGTGCCAGCTCACAGGGCCACGCTGGGTGTTCCCACGGCCACGGGGCTGGGCCAGAAACACCGTGGGCACAGGCTGCTTCCTGCGGGTGTGCAGTGCCATGAAGGGCCGTTGGGAACTCGGCTCTTGTGCTTTGTGGCTCGGTGCAAACCTTTTGGGTGAAGGTGCAAACCTTTTGGGTGAAGGTGCAAACCTTTTGGGTGAAGTCCACTAAAACACAGCTGGGTTGGTTTGGGGTTTTTTTTCGTACAGTCGTGGAATGGTTTGGGTTGGGAAGGACCTTAAAGCCCATCCCGTTCCACCCCCTGCCACGGGCAGGGGCACCTTCCACTAGTCCAGGTGTTTTGTTTGTTGGGATGGTTTTTTTCATTTTACCTGGCCCTTGCAGTGTACTTGGGGATCTGGTGCCTGCTCAATTTATGGCTCAGAAAGAGGATTTAAAAAAAAAAACAACCTGAAGAAAACCTCTGGAAAACACCTCCTGTGCTTGAGCTCATCTAATATGTGATGGCTGAAGGGGAATTTAAACATCCCCTTTGCACAGAAGGCAATACTGTAGAAGGTACAGAAGGTGGATTTTTTTGGAAACAATTATCTGGAAATACTTGTAAATTTAAAGAGGTGGTTGAAGTGTGTTTGTTTGTGAAGCAAAGGGAAGATCTGTAACCATGGCATAGTGGAAGTGTCCTGGTGATTTAGAATGGGATTTAGGAATCCAGTTCAGCAGAGTCCAGGAAGGCAAACAATGTCTTGGTGTTTTGAGAGGTTAATTTAAAATTTCTTTTGTTGAAAACAATTATATTTTGTGCAAGGTTTTTTCCAGTCTGGTTGTTGGAGGAAAATCAATAACTGGGTTTTTAAGCACAAGCTTCAAACCATGTTCCAGTTCCCTTTTTTAATCTAAGAATGTTTCATGGTGGTGGAAAGACTTTGCAAAGCTGAGGACAACTTTATATATACCGAGAGTACTTCTGTATGCTGGATAATTAACGCTCTACAGATGTCTTAAATCTTAGTCCTCTTCTTCTTTCACCTGACTATTATTATTACCAGTTTCATGTGAATAATTTATTTCTTCTGACTGATTTATTGTGTAAGCAGTGGAGAACTGCTGGAGCACAGTGACACAGCATGTTGGTCCCTCTGCTGTGTGGCTGTGGTGATGTGTCACAGGGAGGAATCCATTAAAACTCCTCATTTTAAAATGGAAAAAGAGAAGACTCGGTGCTTTCTTTTTCTGTGCAACAGTAAATCATCCTCAGAGATGACTTGGTCATGCTGAGGCCAAGGAGGGAGAAATCAGAGGCATAGTTAATGTTCCTTTCTGACTCTTTCTTCCACAGATTCAGTTGGTCCAGCCAGGTCAGATTCAGATTCAAGGTGGGCAGGCTGTGCAGGTACAGGGGCAGCAGGGCCAGACCCAGCAGATCATTATACAGCAGCCCCAGACTGCAGTTACTGCTGGCCAGACACAGGTAACTGCACCAGCATGAAAGGCTTTTCTGGAGAGGATCAGGAAGAGAAACTTGCCAAATGACTTAAGATGTGGTTAAGTAAAAAAGGGAAAAATATTGAGGAGAACTTGAGAATAAATGTCATGTTTTTGTAGTGTTTCCATACATAACTCTGGGGCAGAATAACTAGATTGCATGTTTTTATCCATTGTGTCTTTGTATTTTATTGGTTTGTGGTTGTTTTTGTCTATTTGTTGAATTTTGAAAACATGAAGCATTGCTAATTCCATACTTGGGCCATTTTGTGGAGTAGTCCAGTCACACCTGGGGTTTCTGCTGATGCTTTTGGTTAGGACCAAAATTAAATTTCGGAGCAGAATGGTTCTTCCTTTTGCATATTCATAGCGAGACAGGAAACCTAGAATTTGTTCTTTCAATATTGAACACTGCACTGTTAGAGGAAGTATCTCACATGTGCTTCAGGTGTTTTATCTCCACTTATTTGGTCTGTGCTCCAGCCTGTTTGATGCTGGTAATGAGGCAACAGTAACAGATGCCTGGAACACCTCAAGCACCATGTGCTAATTCAGGAATTGTAAAATGTGGGGGAAAAAAAGCACTCTGTAAAGTTCCTGTGTTGTTTGTTTTGTTTAGACCCAGCAACAAATAGCAGTGCAAGGCCAGCAGGTGGCCCAGGCTGCTGAGGGCCAGACCATCGTGTACCAGCCCGTGAACGCCGACGGCACCATCCTGCAGCAAGGTAGAGAGCTGGGGAGAAGGGGCTCTTGGGTGGGGGTTAGTTAGTGCCCTGGGGTTACTGTCAAAGAACACACTGAGCTGAGTGCTGGGATCACACTGTTGCTGTGTGAATGTGGGAGGAGATGCTTTTGTTCTGCAGGAATTCACTCTGAGGTTCTTTCCCTGGAACCATAAAAAATGGGTCTTGTCTTTGGCAAGGGCTGTTAGAACAGAAACCCTTAATTTTGCTGTTACACCTCAAGAGTACAGGGTCTCTTACATCACACAGGGGTTACTGTGCAGGCACAAATGCAAAAACCAGGAATTCTGATGGAATTTAGTTACTCACTTCCGTGCTTTCGTGATTCTCTGCATGTTATGGAAGGATGAATGAGTAAAACACAGAAGTGGGACTAATGGTGTTCCCTTCTTTTTGTGTGCGTGTTTTTGTTTCCTTTTTCTTTTTTTTTTTTTTCTTTTGTGTTTTACTTCCTTAAAGTTACAGTCCCTGTTACAGGCATGATCACCATTCCAGCAGCCAGCCTGGCTGGAGCACAGATTGTCCAGACAGGAGCCAACACCAACACCACCAGCAGTGGCCAAGGGACAGTCACAGTGACACTGCCAGTGGCTGGAAACGTTGTCAATTCAGGGGGAATGGTCATGGTAGGTGTGAAACTTCCCACTGATGTCTTTAAGGGCTGAGGTTTAAGATACCTGTACAGAGATCTGCCTGGATTTTCACAAGGGTGTGGAGTGATAAGGAGCAATGGACTTAAGGCTTAAATAGTTCGAGTCAACCGTTAATTTTCTCGAGGGTCCCTCAGGATTTGGTTCACAGAGGCTTTTCCTGCCAGCTCCTATTTCTTTTGTAGTGTGAGGCCCTTTACCTGGAGTTTTGTTGGTCCCCACTAGATGTCAGCAGCTCTGCAATGTTTGCTTAGAAATGCTCTGAAATTAGCATGTAATTCAAATAAGAGAGAACCCAAAAAAAAGGGAAGACTTGGTATGTCCTGTTTAACTGTACAAGAAGCAGCAACATGGTCATGGAATTGTGTAATTTATTGAAATTCTGCTTTTATCAGAAAAGAAAAAGCAAGCAGGAGTAATAAGCTTAAACTTGTTTAAATTTGTTCTGCAGTTTGAGAACAGCTTTGTTGCTGCTTTAAGCAGCTGCATTATCTGAGCAAAACCCAAACACTTTCCATTTTAATGGTTTGATTTTTAAACTATTTTTAGTGTTCATTTTGTGTTGTGAGCTGCAAGTACTAAACCCACCTTCTCTGCACAGATGGTGCCTGGAGCTGGGTCAGTCCCAGCCATCCAGAGAATCCCTTTGCCTGGGGCAGAGATGCTGGAAGAGGAGCCCCTCTACGTGAATGCCAAGCAGTACCACCGCATCCTGAAGAGGAGACAGGCACGGGCTAAGCTGGAAGCAGAGGGGAAAATTCCCAAGGAAAGAAGGGTGAGAAGACAACTCTGATCTAACACAGGGTTGCTCTGTGAGAAAGGCACAGAACCACACCCAGGCTGGAAAATGAGGACTGGAATCTTGGTGGTTTTTAATGTTCTTGTTGTTCGTAAGCTACATCAGGGCAAATTTTTTAAGTCCTTTGGGGACAGTCCTGCTTCCTTTGGATGCCTTGGGGTGTCTTTGGAGCTGTGTTACAAGTGGGTGTTGACTGTACCCATGCTGTCTGTGGGCAGGGGGATGGATGGGGACGGGGCAGGCTTTTCCAGCAGTCAGGAATTTCCCCTAAGGAAGCACTGACCTGGAGATTGTGGCTGCTCTCTCATGTCCTGCTTCCCTTTGCTGCAGAAATACCTGCACGAGTCCCGGCACCGGCACGCCATGGCCAGGAAACGGGGAGAGGGGGGACGCTTCTTCTCCCCCAAGGAAAAGGACAGCCCTCACATGCAGGTCAGTGGGGTTTGGTCTGGCTGTTGGACAGCTGCCCCTGTCAGTCCTTCACGTTGCTCTTTACAGGTGTTGTACTGGTTTGTTTGGGTTTTTTGGAGCCTGCTGACCATTGTCCTTCCCTGCCTTCGAATTTATGTTTCAGGCATTGGGGAAAAAACCTCCTGTCTTGTAGAGAGCAAGTGATGTTTGCCTTGAGGAATGTAATGACTGTAATGTGGATAGAAGTGTATTCGCTTTGTATTTCTTAGGGCAAACTCACACAAACATTCTGTGTTTGTAAAATAGAAAAATAAAACGTGAATATCTGATTCTTAGCTGCACATTGATTTGCATAGAAAGTGCAAGGCAGGTTTCAAAGGAAGGGATGCAATGGAGTAGAATCAGCAGGTTCTGTTGTTCATCAGTTCTTTGGAGCACTCCTATGGCTTTAGGGAATGTTTCTTATCCTGAAGTAGAATCCTTCCCAAACACCAGGCCAGTAATAGGTCTTCCTGATTATCAGGGATGGCACCTTCCTGGGAACTGTTAGGATTTTTGTATCCCAGTCTCTTACACTGGCCTGTAAAACCCAGGAACACTAGGACACATGTCAGTATGAAGGAGTGTCTGCTCCTGGTAGCTGTGTGTGCTTCTCCCTGCTTCATGGAGAAGTGTTGAAGTCCAACCTGGGGTGTATTTTGTGTCTGCAGGATCCCACTCAGACCAACGAAGAAGCGATGACACAGATGATCAGAGTCTCCTAACCACTGCTTCCAGGAGAAAAGCACCTGGATGGAATTCCCAGACCTCCTGCCAGTCTGTCCTGTCTGTCCAGTGTGTCCAGCAAGTCTTTGAGTGGGACAATCACCCAGTCACAGCCTGTCCTTTTCTACAGAACAAGCACCACGTGTTCAGGGCGTGGTTGAGATTTTAACAACAGAAACTTCCAGACTTCCTTGGTGCACTCTCCTGATCCAGCACAGGGAATTTGGAGTCTCACTGCTCGTCAGCTGCACCACAGGACTGCATTTGCCCAGCAGAGACTTATTTCCATCCACTCCTGACACCTTTGGACTTCGTTTCCCTGAACTGGTCCCTGTTGTTGCACTTCTGGACCTGGCAGAAACTGAAGGGGATTCTTTTCAGTTCCACCTTGTAAATGTGTAAAACAACAAGCTCTTCTCGGGGAAAGGTTCAGCCATCCAGTCAATGGTAGAAATACTCAAGATTACTGCAGGACTTGGTGTATTGTGTGTCTGTTCCAAGAACTAAGATGGGAGAGGGTGATGTGGGGAGAAGGATTTCATTAGTAAAAGCAATCTCTGGGGGGTTTTTATATGTTTATTGCCAGTAGTCGTTGCTTTGGAAGAAAACTGGATGCGAGTATAAAAGTGATTTAAACTTTTAAGTGAGTCTCTTCCAAAGGGTTTTTTGTTTTAAACCTTCCCTCTAACCTGCCAGTCGAGTGCAGAGTTCCTCCAGAAGACATCAAATCCTCAGTCTCAGAGTGTTGGCACTTGATCAGCTTCATGATGGTATTTCTTGATGCCCAGATCCAATCTACAATTCTGCAGAGTGAGGGGTGTTCATTACAGCAGCAGCTGGGGCAGCTCATCTCATCCTGAGGTACCTGAAGAACTGTTAACAAATGAAGGCAGATACTGAAGAACCTTTCAGGCTTTATTATAGGTTATTCTCTTTAAAACAAAAAAAGAAGTGGCACTTAATGAAAGAGGAGTACTTAGTTTTAAAAAAAGGGACTTTTTCATGACCTGCAGCTGGCTTTGGGCTGAGCAACTCCACAAACAGCTTTAGCTTTAATTCTGTAGCTCATTCCAGATTCTCAGCCTGCTCCATTTTTTCTGCTTTAAAATGTGGTGATAGGAGCAGTAGCCAAAAGCAGCTAACAGGTGAATCTCACATCATTCCATGCCTGTCCTCCCCCACCTTAATGAGTTTAAAGCTGCTCTGTGTATCAGGTGCCTGCTGGAGTTCTCAGATCTTCCAATTTTTGTGTTCTGTGGTTAAAACTGGATCACGGTGGTGAAACTTGGGATTGGGAATATTGCCAGGTAAATATGAACCTGGACAGGTGAAGCTGCAGAGTGAGGGGTTTTGGGGTTTTTGAGCAAAGCAGCCAAGGGTGGCTGAGACTGGGTGAAGTGCAGTGAACGTTGTTTTCAAGTGGAAAAGGAAGTAAATGCAGCTTGAAAAATAAACCCCACATTATTTCTTCCCCCTCCCCGCCCACATTTTCCCAGTTACTGGAAGCTTATGACTAAAGACAAAGTGGAGGATAAATTAGCAAGTTGTGGATACAAAAGACAGAGCCTTGAAAATTCTATTGACTTCGCATAAAAGAAAAGTACTAAACCTAAGAATATGAGAAGGAAGTGAGGGCATGCAAGAGGAGGGAGCAGAAATGTGGAGAAATGCTGGATGCTACATTGTCTGCAGGCAGTCCTGGAGGAAGAGGATGCCTGTCCAGGTACTAGGGGTGACTCCACCTGTGGAAGCAGGTGCCAGTGGAGGAGGAAATGCAGGTGGGTGTTCATAATTGGGCAGCTGGATGTTCTAAAGGATTCCAGTTCATTTTTTTGAATTCCTAGCTCTCTGTGCCCTCCCCACGGTGTTGATGGCATCGTTGGGGCCTTGGGTGCTTCTGCCTTAAATTCTTGCCCAATTCCAGCGTGGTGCTGATTTTCCTCACTTGGCACCTGAAACCCTCACACAGCATTTCCTGGGAGCTCCCCCATTTCAGGAACACGCAGCTCCCTTAGGGAGTAACATATGCTTTAGTTGGGTTTGCAGCAGCATTGTAAATATTTTTTTTAGAGCATTTGTACATTTTGTTGGTGGAATATTTTAGTGCTGGAATAAGAGCCTCTCCGTGATGTTTCTGCTGTTTAGCTGATGGTTAATCTCTGTCCTGAGGGAGCCCCTCTGAGAGCTGGAAATTGGGAAGCAAGGTTATTGCTCTGACATAGTTTTTGTTTTGTTTTGGTTTTTTTTTAAGGAGTAATTACTTTTCTTAAAGAACTTGTAAGCTTCTTCTAAACAGGTAGAACTTGTTTCCCGATAAGCCCTTCATATCTAGGTTCTCTGATCCATTGTTGTAGAATGTGTATGAAGACATGGATTTGTGTTATAGAAAGTCTTACTGTTGATACTTTAAATAGTGATGTGACAGCCTGAGTGCTCTGGTCAGATTTTTGTTTGTTTTGGGTTGTGTATCACTGCTAAAAGTCCTGTTTACTTGGTGAGACTGGAGTCACTGGTCAACACCACGGTACCAAAAATGTCTGTTTTCTTTTCTGGGGGAAATTTGTTAAATTGGAGACATCGTCCAGTTCGAACCTGTCTAGTAATTAAATGAGAATTCTTTGTTTATTGGCTACACTTGAGCAGAAACTTCAGGAGAGAGTAAAAGGGTGAGGATAAAAGAGGCTCGGGGAGAAATGCGGTCTATTGACCCAGAGCACCGAAGCAGTGAACCCCTCAAAAACCAGATTTATATGAGTGTAAAGAGCGGGATTTGGAAAAAAATGGCTCTCAAGTGATGCTAGATGGGTTTAAGGCCCTGCATGTTAAAAAGAAGGGAAAAATAAACTTTTCTTTGTGAATGGACAGGGGAGGGTCCTGAGGTTGAAGTAATGTCAGGCAAAGTTTGTATATAGTTAAAAGTTTATAATTTTTTTTATATGATGCATTTTTTCAAGTGTATTTTGGTCTTTAATAGATGCAATTGTAAGTACTGTGTACACTCTCCAGCTAATAAAATTTATAAACCGGGAAGCTTTTTCCCTGTATTTGGACGTTGCGAGTGACATGGCAGCTATGAGGGCAGGGGGTGGCTTTGGCCCCACTGTGGGGATGGCACGGCCATCTTGGCGTCCATCTCCCCTCAGCCCCATCCCGCCATCTTGGCATCCATCTCCCCTCAGCCCCATCCCGCCATCTTGCTGTCCGTCTCCTCTCAGCCCCATCCCGCCTTCTTGGTGTCTATCATCTCCCCTCAGTCTGACCCTGCTATCTTGGCCTCTCTCTCCCCTCAGCCCCATCCCGCCATCTTGGCATCCATCTCCCCTCAGCCCCATCCCGCCATCTTGGCATCCGTCTGCCCTCAGTCCCATCCCGCCATCTTGGCGTCCGTCTCCCCTCAGCCCCATCCTGCCATCTTGGTGTCCGTCTCCCCTCAGTCTGACCTCACTGTCTTGGCGCTTTAGGAGACAGTTTCCATGCCTGCCTGTGATCCCTCTGGACACGCTGCTCTTCCACAAGTGCTGCTCCAGAGCTCTCNCCCATCCCGCCATCTTGGCGTCCATCTGCCCTCAGTCCCATCCCGCCATCTTGGCGTCCGTCTCCCCTCAGCCCCATCCCGCCATCTTGGCGTCCGTCTCCCCTCAGTCCCATCCCGCCATCTTGGTGTCCGTCTCCCCTCAGTCTGGCCTCACTGTCTTGGCGCTTTAGGAGACAGTTTCCATGCCTGCCTGTGATCCCTCTGGACACGCTGCTCTTCCACAAGTGCTGCTCCAGAGCTCTCCACAGGATTGGGACGGCACGTTCTCTACGGTGTTGGAAATATTTAATGGTATCGACCCCACACCAACGCTTCTGCCATCTCAAAAATGCGCCAAAGCACAAGGGTGAGTGTCATTAGTTCTTTCCAGAATTGGTCAATACAGTGATGATCATGAAAAAAAAAACAAAAAAGGAAATAACAGTACGTAAGAACAGAGAATGGGAAGCTGGGACAGGAAGAGAACAATCATGCAAGGCTGTTTGGGAAGCCAGAAATAGGTTTCTTTAACTATTATGATGTAATTTTCTAGCTTTGCTTTCATAAAATTTGCAATAGAATAACAAAACCATCTCAGATATAATGATAAAAAGCCTGATATTTTTTAGCCACATCAGAGCAGTCAACAGAATTTACTTCTGTCTCACTTAGAATCTCACAAGCACTCACAGGCAGATATATAACTCAAAGAGTTTATACAGTCCATAGGTGTATTCCCTGCTTTTTCCCCTTCCTTCCCTCCTTTGCCACCCAGTGCCCAGACTGGAGTTTTCTTGCAATCTTAGTATCAAAAATTTAAACCTATTTTTGTGTTCTATTCAGCATCCTCAGCTCCAGCTTGCAGAATTAAGATGAATTTGGGGATTTATCCATAATCCCTGAGGGATGTGTGATCATATTGCTGTGATATCAGGGTTCTGTAGTTTGATCAACAGTTTATAGTAAAGTCAAGCTAGGTTTATCCTGGAGTATTGGTGTGTGTTAATGAACAACAAACAGGGAAATACAAAGTTATTTCTTTGTAAAACAAATCAATAATTTTGAATGTAAATTTCACCCCTGCATGTTCAAGCTGATGACAGTTTATATTGTAAAGTAAACAAATATTTTCCAACAAGACCCTTGTTTACTAAAACATGTCAAGTGCATTGCCTGTCTCCCTGAAGCCCAGGAAACACCTCGTGTGTTTCAAATAAAGCAGATTTTTACCACTTTGCTGACTTGGATCTTATCAGAGTGGGCAGTAATTAATGCTTTATCTGTGAGTATTCAAGTGAGCTGTCGAAGAAAGTCCAAAGGAAGCATCTCTCGTATCTCACAGCCCCTCGTTGGCTGTGGTGCTGTATCAGCTGCTGCCAGACAGAACCAGTTTCCTGTATTTGGGTTTACAGTTCTACGTCATTTAAAACCAGCAATTTGGAAAAGCAAACATACCACAGCTTTCTTCTGGATTTGCCCACCAGGAGCTGGGGGTGATGCTGTGCTGTTAGGAAAGTGCAGTTGTTTTCCAGGGAAGGTTTGTGCACCCACGTGTGTCCTTTCAGTTGCTTCTGCCCCCCACCCCATCGCCCACCTTCAGCAGCTGGGTACAAACAGGTTATTTTAAGTGCAGTTCTGAAAAATTCAGTGAACAAGCCCAAGACTTTGTGCTGCTCTCTTTAGGTGAAGCTGTTTTCCTCTGTTGCAGTGTCAGGATGTGGAGCTGTGGTTCTGAAGAGAACAGTCGCGTACTCCACAGGCCCCGAGGAGGCTGAACTTCCCGGCGGTTCCTGCAGGTGGAAGAAAAGCTTGGGAGCAGGCTGTACGTTGGCATACAGAACATCCTCGGGCCTGGGCTGCTGCTGGGGCCTGATCACAGCATAGACCGTGCTCCTGCTCAGTTCCCCTTCTGCCATCCCGCTCCCCTTGTGTCCTCTGAGCTGAGAAACCACAAAGAACAAGAAGTTAAAAACAGATTCAGCATTTTTTGCTTCTGAACATTAGCCTTGGTTCATCTACAGACACAAATATTTCCCTTTTGTCTTGTGAAGTTGGGGAAGAGGGGAGGGGATGTGTGGCAAAAGGAAACGTGTGCTCAGAGAAGTTTAGGAAACTTCTACACAAACTCAGCTTCCTAAAATTGAAGGGACTGGGGTAGAAAGGTGCAGCCGCAATCAACACACTGAATATTTAGGATGATAAAGTTTTCCTTTGATAAGAAGCTTTGGTGATGTTACTGCAGATCCAAGGCCAGTAAATTATCAACACTGTGTATTTGTTATTACATTTATTTTTCTGAGTACTATAAGCAAAATTAAGCAGAAAGGCTGGGATTTCCTCAAATAACCAAGGTAGGTTGTGGCTGCTTGGCAAAAAGATGTCAGACAACCAACAAGTACGGGCAGCTTTAGTCTGGGAGCTCGAGGGGATGCCTCTCACCCACTGCAGGATGATGGAACTGCTGCATGGTGACACAGAGCCAGTCTCTGCACGGCAGGGATCAACCAAAGCACCGGGAATGTGGGATTGCTGGTGTCTTACCTGCAGTGCTCTCTGTCTGAAAGCAGGATGTTTGCCAGTGTCCATCCCTTTTCCTGCCAAGAACGACAGAAACTCATTTGAGTGTGAAACACGACCTTTACCTGTTCATTTTAAACCTGACTCTCCCTCCTGTCCCTTCCTGGATTCAGCTCACACCTCGCATTTGCTCCCAGCTCATCCCTGCCTCCTTGGAAAGGATTGCTGTGCACAGACCTTCCCTACATCCAGGGGGGTGGGAGGACAAGGTGAGGGGCAGGAAAACCAGACAGGAGGATTTGGGATCTTTACCTGCTCTTTTCGTTCTGATGTAGGTGGTGAGGAGGAAGAGAACAGCAGCAACCAGAGCAGTGGTGGGCAGGAAGGAGCTCAGCACCACGAGGGCATGGAGACTGCTGCAGGGAAAAACCAGGATATCTCCATACTATTTACAGCACCAGAGGTGATGAGGGTAATGTGGGAGGGGATTTTGTGTGTTTTACAATGAATTATGTTTCCAGGATAAGAACTCAGCACCCAAATACCACCCTTGCTGTCTCTAAACAAGTGCAGTTCTGTGAGGTCAGGCCTGATCCACAGCCACAGAGGATCCATCCCACCAGCTGTGTTTTCCTTGGCACTTGGCAAGCCTGGGGAAGACTCAGGAGCTTGGATTCCCTTCCTGCACTCATCTGCAGTGCTACCAGGGCTCAAGGGATCCCTCACCAGGATTCAGTAGCCCTTCTCAGGGTCTGTCTTTGATCAGGATCATTAATGGGGTCACTTTTGATCAGGGAACACCTCTGGTCTGAGGTGCTGTGGCCTTTGCTGGGGTGGATCTTGGGCTGGGCTGCTGGTACCCAGGCAGAGTCACTGTGGCATTGCCTGGCCCATATCTGTGCCCCTTTTTTAGCCAGTTAGAAAGCAAGGACATGGTCAAACTGAGCATCCTCAGCAGAAGCCCCACTTAGGGCTCCTGAATTTGATAGGAACCTTCTAGAGCTTCTCCTGGAACTGGGGAGGTTGGAACAAACTGTAGGGAGAAGGGGAAGCCTCTGTGTGTGTGTGTGTGTGTGTGCACATGCTGCAGTGTGTCACACTGCTCCTCAAATCCTGCTGTGCATCCAGAGTCTGGGAGTCGTTGGTTTTACCTCTGCTCCTTATTGGTGTCATCTGTGGCAATGTCCCCCTTCTCAGTGGCAAATGTAATGGGGTCAGAATCTGTACCCAAAGACCTATATTCCTCTTGAAAAAAAAAACAAAACAATGAGCAGGTGATTTTCCCACGTCAATCCATCCCTGGGGACTCTTTCTCCTGCTAAAAAACTGGTGACTTTTTCTCCAGCAAAGATTTGGGTTGCTCAGAGCCTGTTCCATCTGCTGATGTAAATGTAAGACTTCATTAATCAATGAAGCCAAGCCAGGCCCCCCTCACACCAGTTGGCTCCAATTTGTTTATCCCATTAGTATGTATCAAAAATATGTTTAAAAAAAAGAAATTCAGGAATTACCTGTGTCTCAGGAAATTTCCAAAGGCAGCTCTTTAACACTGACCCGAAATCTTTCTTGTCAAGTGGTAAAAAATTGCTGACTCCTGGAAGATCATTAATTCTTTGATTAACTCACCCAAAACTTCCAGCTTGGTGCTATTCCGTGGTTTGTTTCTCCCCTGGAAATAGGTCTCGAGTTGATATTCTCCTGAGTCATTAAGTTGGAGCTTTCTCAGCTGCACTCTAATCATTTTCCATGAGAACTCATTCATCATTCCAGTCCCTCCTGCTTTAAGGAGACTTTGATCAGAGTTACCTTGAATTTGGGACACCATTTTGCACCAAATACAGCATTGGAGTTTCCTGGTGTTGTCTTGCACAGAAAGGGAGTGATGAGGGAGAGGAGTTCCCTTTTCTTTTGCAAACAGGCTCACGAATTCTGAAGAACCTTGAGTGGTGATTCATCAGAGGGAGAAGACAGGAAAAAACAACCCCCCTGGAGTGTCCGTGTCCCCCAGCACAGGGGCAGAGCCAAGGTCAGCACAGTCCCTGATGTCCCTTCCCACCCAAACCATTCTGTGATTGTATGACATCTTCTGTCCCAAACCCACTTGGTTTTGATTAATACAATCCTACAACATGGCATTCATTGTTTTTGATGGTAACCAGTAAATTATTGATTCTTTTTTTTTCCTTTGAGACATTTTATTTAATATAGCAAAAATAATTTCCTGGACACTTCTGCCACTTGATACACACAGATACCTGTCGTGGTTCTATGTTGAACTATGTAATAGAGTTTTACCCTGTCCTGGATAACCTCTGGTGAGATCTTTATGTCCCAATGCAACATCTTTAGCTGTGAAACAAAAATGGGAATGACACATCATTCTTGATTCATTTTGGCTGTCTCCCACCCGGCACACTGTTGACCTCAGAGCTCACCCTCAGGTGAAACCACCATCTGTATTCCCTGCAGAAGAATATTCTGCAGATATCCACAGCTGAGGGCCAGATTCCCCCTTGAAAGTGCTGCCCTGATCACTGAAAACCAGAGATGTCCTGAGTCCATCAGTCCCCTGAGCAGTGCAGTGTGTGGAAAAGGTTAATCCTTTCTTTCCCAGGGAAGCTCAAGGCTAAGACTGGACAGGACGTTTCTGACAGCCCCTTGAACCACTATCTCTTCTCCCATAACTTCTTGTTGGCTCTAGAGGACTCTCCCTCTGTGCACAGACACTCTTATATGGCTTCTCTGAGCCTTACCTGGTAGTGCCAGCAAGAGCAGCAGGGCTGGAAAACCTTCCATCCTGGAGCAGAGAGTGGTTTAGGGCACCAAGGGAAAAAACATCTCCTGGAGCTTCTTTATCCCCACACAGTTCCTGCTGCAGAGGAGCAAACTCACTCTGTCACTCAGAGGCTGCTGCCCCGAGTGGTGATGCCAGTTTGGAATTGCTGAGGGTATCTTTTAACCACAATCTCTGAGTTATTTCTTGGGAGGGAAGGCTGCGTGGTGCTCACTGGCTGCCTTTCCCCTTTCAATACCCTGTGATAGCCATATTTAGCAACCAGGCCGTGGGGCTGGACAAGAAATGGGCATCTTTGGTCTCTGGTGCTGCTCTGACACATCCCAGAGCAGCCTTCAGCTGGGAATGTTCATCTGCTGCTTTGCACTTACATGGAATCATGGAATGGTTTGGGTTGAAGGGACCTTAAAGCTCATCTCAACCCACTCCCCATGTCACCTTTCACTAGCCCAGGTTGCTCCAGGCCCTGTCCAACCTGGCATTGGACACTTCCAGGGATGGGGCAGCCACAGCCCCTCTGGGTAATGAGGGGTTGGGCTTTGAGCTCTGCTCCTGTGTGGCACTGAGTGGCTGGATGTGCCAGCCTGTCCCACTGGCTCTGGGCATTGTAAACACTCCAGCATGTTCCAGGTGTCACTTCTTCTTTGGGGGATGACTGTGACCTGGTGTCCTGCAGCCCACTACCATGAATCCATCCTAAGCCAGAGAATCAATTTTATTTTATTTAGTATTGCAGGGAAAAGAAGTGTGAATGCCCCTGGGTTTGGGGTCTGCCTGGGAGACCCAAAGGCAGCTTCACTGTGGGGAGAGATGAACAACCACCACATGTTGGTAACATCCCCTCGAGTGGGGAGAAAAAACACAGGGAGAACTACAGAGAGACAGTTCATTTGCTCACCAAGTCCTTTCAGAAATGAGGAAGCAGGCTCGGAGCTGCAAGGAGACCACATCCCTTTCTGGGCTGTCCTGCAGTTCCTTATGCCTTTCCACAGGGACACCAAGGATCCACACTGTCCAAAGCAACAGTGGGAATTAGTCTTCCTCACCTTGTAAAGACAGAATCTGTCACCTGGCACTGCCCTGAGATGACAGGATGTTGATGGGTCTCAGTTCAGACTGTGGTGGAATGATATTGGGGATGGTATCTGGAATAACTCTGCCTGGGGGTGTGATGCCAATGAGAAGAGGTGGTAGATGGTGACATTCCCTCTCCAAAGTCACAGGTTCATCCACACCTGTGTTTAGTAGTGATCCTTTTCTTACAGCAGGTGGCAAAGCTTTGCCTGCAAATGCCTGATGTTCCTTTTCCATGGACTTCCTTTGGCTCAGCTCACGCAGCTCTCTCCCGGGAGGGGCCAGTTCCGTGTCCGAGGTCAGCAGTGAAAGGGAGGACCTGCTGCTCACTCAGGCTTGGGTTCTGCTCTCTTTCTCTGTGCTTCCTGCTGATGCCAACGATACAGATCAGTACAGCCACCATGAACTTGGTAACCAGGAGCCCAGCAAGGATGTAGAAAACAGTGAAATCCACTTTGGGAGGGGAGCTGTGGGGAACCAGAAATACAACCATGGAGGAGATGGTTCAAACCTTTAAAAAACTCCTGAGGTACTGCCTTAGTCCTAGGAAGACTAGAGATCCCAGCACAAGTTTTAGGCTCACCTGGAGATGCTCTGCACAGCTCTGGGCTCCTCTGGCACTTGGGTCTCCAGGGCAGCTGCTGATAGAAATAGAACAGTTTAGTCTGCAGGTGCCTCGGGGTGATGTTCATTGGTGTCACCAGTGCCCCAGCTGGCAAGTGGCCAAGGTGAGGTGGGGCATGGGGCTGTGTGCCAGGAGATCAGTCTGGGCAGCAAGAAGGGGATGGCATGTTGGATGTCCAGCACCAGTGAAGTGACAGTGCTGTACCTCAGGAATAAAGAGAGGCGATGAAGCACAGAACCTCCACAGAGTGAGACAGCAGTAGATGGTTACTGAGGTGACGCCTTGGCACCTGCAGGCACCCCTGAAATTTGAGTAGGAACTCGTGGAACTCAAACCCCAGGACGTACCTCTCAGCACTTCCACTTGCACCTTCCTCAGGCTCTTTGTGTCCCCCAGGAAATCAGTTCTGCACTGGTACAGCCCAGCATCCTCCTTCCTGAGCTGCCTCATGGTGACCGTCAGGACCCCGTCGTGGATGTTGTCCCTGATGGAGGTGGTGCTTTTCCTGCCCCTCAGGAAGGGCAGCCAGAAGGATCGGGCACTCACCACATGCTGGCACTTGGTCTCATCGACCTGCCTGCACCAGCTCTTCTCTCTCCACCACTGCTGCTGGGGGTCGTAGGAGCAGTTGACAGAAATGGTGCCCCCCTCCATCCCATACACCACGGTGACGTTCTCTGCGGCACAGGAGGCTGGGAGGGAGGGAGGGAGGGGAGAGGGGTGAGCCCAGTCTCTCTCATGTCTATCCCTCACTACTGTGGTGATGCTGAACATCATTTTCACCCTCTACTGCTCTAGTGATGGCAGCTGTCACCTGTAGTGCTGCTACCTGGAAGGCTGTCACCTGTAGGGTTGTCACCCATCTGCTTCCCCCATCAATGATCAGTGAGCTCAGAGTCTTGGCTCAGGTGTTGTGAAAAATGTCTGTGGTGACCCTGTGCCTGGTGGGTGATTTGGCTCTTGCCAGGCAGCAGTTCTTGGGGTGGCACTGAGGGCAAGAGGTATCAGCTTCCTTAATATTTGCAGATTTTCTGAAGCTTGGGTAAACTTTGGTCCTTGCCTTCCCTCCTGGCCCTGTGGTGGCTGCTCTGGAGTCAGCCTGGAGCTCAACCACATCCCACCTCTGTCATCCCTGTGCTCCTGCCCAGTTTGTCTTCAGGATTCGGGCATTAAATATAAACTTGCCCCGTGCTCTGATCCTGAGGAGCATGGAGCTGGGCATCCAGGTAGGTTGAGCTGGCACCAGACAAGCTGCCCTGATTTTTAAAAGCTCTTTTACAGTATTTGGCTGTGGAATACCCTCTGCTGCAGAAAAACCCTTTGCAGTAAATGCCCATGAACTTTATCCCCATTTTGAAGCTCTTTACACAGGCAGAGCAAAGCCACACTGCCCTGGAAAATGCTGGAATCACACTGACACCTACAAACCACTGTCCTGCTTGCTGGCTAGGAGGTTGCTTCTGAATCCCACTCCTACTTCTAAATCCAGGCATTTAGCAGTTTTTTTCCACTCTATCTTTTAATATCTTACAAATTTTAACCATGTTGACAACTGGTCTTTGGCTGCTTGGCTTTTTTTAATTGTCTTGGTTCCTTATTTCTAATTTCCATTCCTCTTTGTGACAGGAAATGGCAGAGGGGACAGTCTGAGCTATTAATACTTCCAGAGAGAAGTACAGTGTGGTATTTGTGGAAATCTCTATTTCTAGTGAAAAAATTCAGAGGCAAATGTTTCTGTGAAACCATAAGTAACGATAAAACAGAAGTAAATTTAAAAATAGGCTCTTGTGAGGACTTTGTGCTGGCTGAGGCTTTTAATAACACTGCTTAAAATAATTTCAACAATTCTAAGTGAATTATAAACTAAAAGATCTGAAGTTCTTTCAGCTTGACTAGAACAAGACATAAAATAGATCTGTGCTCCCCAAGTGTCCAACACCTCCGAGTCTTTATCCCAGTACACTGCTGCACTCAGTTCTTCCAGTCAGGACTTACCTCAGGCTGTGTCCTGTCCTGTCCTGTGCAATCCTTCCAGAACACTTTGCCTGCCTCTCCTCTTTCTCTTGAGGACCCCTCCTTCCTCCAGCTCTGCCCCATCAGTCCCTACAATTCCCACAGCACAGCAAAACACCTCTCAGTTGGAATCATTTAAAGATTTCCTGATTTCTCTGTGGAAAATACTGTGTCATTCTCTTTTCAACCAATTCTGCTGACAGATCAGAAACTATTTGTGTTCCTCCTCCCTTCCTGGGTTCTACTGGAAAAAGTATAGTGAACATTTTCCAAACTCATTCAGATTTTTGGGACAGGTTTCTGTGCTCCCACAGCCTGGGTTTGTTGCTATTCCCTGCAGTGCTGCAGAGAGCTGGAATCTCCAAAGTGGCTGGGGAGAGAAGGCAGAGAGCTGGGAGCCCCACCTGGGTCCTGTGCCTTGGTTCTCACTTCCAAGGGCTGTGCCTCTCCCAGCTGCAAAGAGCCAAGTGCCCGAGAGTTCAGAGCTCTGCCCTTCACTGGGTTTTATTTCCCTTCCCTTGAACCCTCCTGTGGTAATTTACACATATATAAATTACATTCAAAGCCCTGCAAATGCAAACACACAGGATTTTGCAATTCCACATTTCACAAAAGAGGTACACAGGACTTCTTTCATCAGTGTTTCCTGTTCTGACTCAAAAGGATCCCTGTGAGGAAAGCTGGGAGCACTGGGATCACCACTGGCCCTTTGGTAAATAAAAGGAAAGGAGAAAACTCCAAGGAAGGAGCCTTCAGGTGGAGACCAAGCTTTGCCCCAGTCCTTTACCCTGTCAACCCTTTTCCCTCGAAACCCAAAGCCACACGTTCCTCTTACCTGACAGGAAGACCAAGATGAGGTGGCCGAGCCTCTCCATGTGAGCTGAGCAGAGCAGGGCATGGGAGAGCAGCCTGGAGAAGAGGGACATGGGCTCTGCCCAAGGGCAGCTCCCTCTCCCCCTCCTTGCTCTGACGGAAGGAACGAGCACAGGAACTTGGCATCTTTTTCATCCCGCACGTTGAGCAATTACCAGGGACGGGCATTTCTCTCATGGGCTGAAAATTCAGGCATCAGCATTGCCCAGTCCCAGCCAGGGACTCAGCTCAGTCTAGACAGCCCAGGAGGGAGCATCATGTGATGGCCTCAAGCTGGGGCTGGGGGGTCCTGCTGGGCTCAGCTCCCACTGGAGCAGGACTTCACAGAGCCACGGAATCCCATGGTGGTTTGGGCCGGAGGGACCTCAAAGCTCATCCAGTTCCAGCCCACTGCCTTTGCCAGGAACATCTTCCACTAGCCCAGGTTGCTCCAGACCCCATCCAACCTGCCTTGAACAATTCCAGGGATGGGGCAGCCACAGCTTCTCTGGGCAACCTGGGCCAGGGCCTGCCCACCCTCACCAGGGGGAATTTCCCCCAGTATCCCACCTAACCCTGCCCCTATCAGTGGGAAGCCATTCCCCCTTGCCCTGTCATTCCAGGCCCCTGTAAATGATTTACAGGAGCTGTGCATGGGGGGAATTACTGGAAAGCCCAAATGGAAAGAGTGGCTCTCGTGGGGATCTGCAGGTGGCTCTGTCAGCATCCCGAGGTGGAAGGAGGGCAAGGACATCATCTTGTGGGTTTTCAGGAGAAAGAAGATGTAGAAGAGCCTGCATATGAAGAATTTCTGTTTGCCAGCTAACCACAGGAGCTCAGGGGCACTGCCCTGGGTAAAGCTGTGGCTGCTTTAAATGAGCCCAACAGCCATCTGTGTTCTGGGCCTGGCAGAAAGGACACAGGATCGAGGGCTGGGGGCACTGATTCCAAACCAGCTCAGGACTGCCCTCAGGGACCTCCCAGAGTGTCAGCAAACTGGGAGGCTGGGTGCTGGTTTCTGGTTTTGAATTTATTTATTTACTTGGAGATCTTCCATGCAAGTATGAGTAGACCCTGACTTCTTAACTGGTGTACTGATGAATCTGCAGGTCTGTCCAGTCTTAAATGTGCCTCTTTTCCTTTCCTTGAGTTAGTGGTTAAGAAAATGGTACCTCAGAGAAATTCTTTGTGAGGTGACTGATTGCAGTTTTTGTTCCTTCTTGCTCCAGTGAGCACAAATCTGGATTCTCTTTGAGAATCATCCTGAAAATGCCTCTCTTCCATTCCATTGTTTTCTACTATTACTCTTCCACAGCTTGACCCAATGTAACTGCATGAAGAGCAAATTGTTAGGGGAATCTTGGGCTGAATGAACCATTTCCAGAACCATTTTCTTTTTCTTTCTGTCACATCAACTCTGAAAATCTCAAAAATTCCATCAGCCTCCCTGCTGCAGCCCTAGCAAGAGAAGCCTGTTGGATGTGACTGGCCTGGGAATGAGGGATGGTTCAGGCTCCTTTGGTCTCAGACCTGTCTGCAGGGCTTGGGGCAGGGAAATCAGATGCCAGAGCTTCTGGTCTTTCAGAGAAATGGAGCTGAGCCCCAGAAAACTCGTTTCAGGTTGCTCCTCACATGACTGCTAAATACAGGCAGCAAACATGTCATTTGGAGAGTTTCCAGCAGAGAGAGGGAAGTGCAGATGTTGGTTCTGCTTATTCTTATAATCCAGCACTCCCATTCCCAACCCATTTCATGGGACATGAACCCAGGCACAAAAAGGTTCAAGTTTGATCCCTGCAGCACTGCAATGAGTTCACTTGGCCACAGGAGCTGAATCCTCAGGAATGGGGCAGAGTTTGTACCAGAGCATAGCTGGAATACCAAACCCAGCAATGTCCAGACAAATACTGCTCTTTTTCAAAAGCTCACACCTGCCTCTCCAAGAGTCTGCATTTTAATGGAACTGGAAAAACAGATGTACAAGGTATCCTGGGAATAATCCCACACCTCTGTCTGACCTGAGACAATCTGCCACAAGTGTGGCAAAGCCTCTACTGGCCATTAACAGGAGGGAGGTCAGAAAACGCACAGGCAACACACACATGGCAGCAAAACTCAGCTCCTCCCCAGTGTCCATCCACACACCTCCTAGTCCTCATTCCCACTTCGTATTCCAGTTTGTTTCTCCCATTTCTGGATTGTTTGGGGACTCTGTGCTTCATCCTGCATCATTCCTTGGGAGCTGGTTGAATGCGATGACAGCATATTCCACATTTTCCCCTTGGGGCTTCCTGTGAGCCTGGCTGGGTTCAATATTGCAGTAAAGAGGACCCTCAGAGCTGGGCTGGGATTGCAAGTCCAGGTTATTGTGTTTTAGGCCCTTGCTGTCATCCTTAGAACTTTCTCTTCTTTCAGTGCTGCCAAGCTGTGAAAAGAAAGGGAAAATACTTGTTAGCATGACACAGTGCCAGGTCACAGCTGTTACCAGGAGACCAAATTCTCCCAGAAGGAAAGGAGAAGCCATGTAAAAAATACCTTTGGTCATGACAGAGGTGAAAGAACAGAAGACTCTTCATCACCTCTCCTGGATAGAGGTAATAACTGCATGGTCTAACCTTGGTTACTAGTCCTTCAGTCATTTCTCAGGGGTTACTAGAATTTGGTCACCTGTGTTTTTTTCCTGTTAGAGTTTCCCTACATCTATTCCCCCCCCCCCTCCAGCTAGGAACATTCCTCTCTCTGGGGACATTAAATACCATTTCCCTCCTGCTCACAACCAAAGTGAGCTCCAAGGTCCTCATCAGGTGGGTCCAACAGCTCCTCACAGAGTATTGGTCAGGGACTCGGTACCACATGGGAAATCATTCATTTTCCTTACCTGTGCTGTGCCCTCTGAATTGTCATAGGTGTCCTCTGCTCCTTGGTTACCTTTGGAATAAACCAAAATCAGAGGTTTTAGAAGCAGAGAAGCCATGAAAAGCCCTGGCATTGCCTGTGCCTCAGGAGGTGTGGGGAAGGCTGTGGGATTGCCCAGTGATAGGAGCAGTGGATGTGCAGTGGGACCCCTCTGCCCTGAGCCTGGGGAACACCTTGGGCTCACTTCAGTTCTCCCCTAACGTGTTTGCAGGTTCCTGTGCAGGGTCTGCAGGAACCCAGGTTTGACTTATTGTGAGCAGAGATGGCAGCGAGGAATCTGCCTTGAGGCCTCCCAGCCTGCACCTGCCTGATCTGCAGAGCACTGGGAGCTGGGAACGAGCTCACCTGGAGGGGGAAGCAGTGGCAGAGAAGGCTCTGTTTGGTACAGAGCAGGACAGGAGGCACCCCCCAGCTCCACATACCTGTTCTCTCCAGGAGCTTTTGCAGCCTGACACACAGCGCTGCCGAGGTGATGAGAGCCAGGATGAGCAGGATGCTCAGCACCACGGACAGTAGGATGAAGGTGTTGACATTTGAGCTGCAGCCAGGAGAGCAAGGGAGTTACCAGTGTTGGATGGTGTAACAGCCCAGTACCAAACAGTGACCAGAAGGGACAGGTTTCATGTTCTCGGTTCTATGCACTCAGAAGGAGGGTCTGGTTCTCCTGCAGCAATGCAATCTGATTTTTCTACCTGGTTGTGCCTTCTGAGCTTTTCCTAAACTATTCTCCAGGCTTTAGAAACAAGGCACTGTTCAAAGCTCTGAGCACAATTCCAGGCTCTCTGGAACAGGAACTGTCTTTTCCTCCTGTGTTTTGCAGCACCTGGTGCACCAGAGCTGATTTTACTAATCTGCCTCCTCCTCTGGAATTATGCTCCGGGCAGGAGCTGGAACAGGAGAGGCCAGCTTTGGTAAGGATCCTACCATACTTAAGCCCTCTGTAGGCAGGAATCAGAGTACCCAGGGACTGCCTGCCCCAGATGTTTTGGGGACAAAACATGAATAACTTGTGTGTGTTCAAGCTCAGAGACTCTTACCTGGGTGTTGGGCTGTTGCCCAAAGGAGTTGCTTGACTTGAGCCTTCAGTGTCTGACAAAGCTGCAATGGCAGGCATGAAGAGAGGAACAGTCACAAATGCTTTGCATTTACCAGTGAAACCCCCCTGCCATTGCTGTTCCTGTGCCCAGGGGAGGGTGTGCAGAACCCACGTGTTGGGACTTTTTCCAGAGCATCACTGTCCCCTCCCATGGTCTGCACTGCCTGTTCCTCTAGTCCTTCAAGAGCCAGGTTGCAGCTCAGTGCCATCCCTTACTGTTAGAGCATCATGCTGAAAGAGAGCCCAAGTCACAGATCTTTAAAATACAGGTCTAAAGGTTGTTCCCTTGACAACCCAGTGTGAAGGTCTTAATAGCCTTTGAAAGCCAAGGGATGAGTCACTATAAAGGGGCAGAACTGGTATCAGAGGATGAGAGACAGAGACACCTCTCAGGACAGCTGAACCTGCTCCCAGGTTAAAGGGGAGCAGCACAGCACACGTGTGGTTCACCTCTCATCCCTGCTGCTACTCCATAACATGGTGGCCATGAGAAGGTCCAGGCAGGTGTAAGGTGTGAGGTGGTGTAAGCTGGGCAGTGCAGAGGGACAGAGCAGGAAAGTGAGTCTGGGATCTACAAACACAGTGTGTGCTGACAGGTCCGTACGTACCCTCGGAAACCTCGAGCGTGACCTCCTCCATCCGGGAGAGACCAGAGCTTTCATGGAGTGCACACCAGTACACGCCAGAGTCCTGTGCCTGCAGCTGCTCCATGGTGATGGTGACGATCCCCTGTTGGGTGTCATCCTGGATCCTGACTCTGCCATCCTGAGATGTCCTTTGGTTCCCTGAGAGCCCTGAGCTTGTGGTGACCAGTATCTCACATGATGTCCCTGCTTCCTCTTTGCACCAGGCTTTGCTCACAGCCCCGTAGTCCGTGTTCTTGTACTGACACTGGACAGAGATGTTGCCTGACTCCTTAGCTGTGTACTGCTGGGTCCCTGGAAAACATCCGGAATGCTTGGTGAGATCCCAAAGCAGGCACAGTGGCACCCTGGATCTGCTTCTACCTCCAGACATGTGGAGCAGAAGGGGACTGGACCCAGATTACTGGGGGCAAAAATGACTCATAAACTGAGACACCCTGGGACACTGCAAGTGCAGTAGGTGCTCACTGTGGGACACTGAGAGGGCAGTAGGTGCTCACTGTGGGACACTGAGAGGGCAGTAGGTGCTCATTTTGGGACACTGAGAGGGCAGTAGATGCTCACTGTGGGACACTGAGAGGGCAGTAGGTGCTCATTTTGGGACACTGAGAGGGCAGTAGATGCTCACTGTGGGACACTGAGAGGGCAGTAGGTGCTCACTGTGGGACACTGAGAGGGCAGTAGGTACTCACTCTTGAAGACAGAGAGCACGACCTCCATTACTCGGGTGCGGCCGGAGCTCAGTGCACACCAGTACGTGCCGGTGTCCTGGGCCTGCAGCCTCCTCATGGTGACGGTGAGAGTATTCAGGCGGTTGTACATCAGCGATGTTCTGTCGTGTGGAGCTTTGCTGTTGCTCCGTGTTGAACGGGATTCTGTGCTCGCCATGACTCTACACTCAGTCTGCCCTTCTCTCCGGCACCAGGTCGTGCTGTACGGGCACTGCACCCGCAGAGTGTCCAACTCCCACTGGAGCTCCTCTGAAACGCAAGGTGGTCACTTCCCAATGAGCAGTGGGCACAAGGGCATCCACCTCCCTCCCTGAGCTGGGCATCTGGGACAGACCCTGCCCTGGGGCAACGCCCTCATGGAGAGCCCCTCATCAAGGCAGGGGTAGGGGTGAGGTAAGGCAGGACAAGAGGTTGCTGGGAACCTGCAGGGCCAGCCAGGTCTGTGGAGCTCCTTCACTCACTGGGGAAGGCAGCAAATGAGGCTGGGAAGCGGGGCTGGGGGGATCAGGGGAAGCTGCTCTGCTCTGGGGGAGAGGGGAGCAGGGGAAGGAATGATGTGGCTTTCTGACAAGGTACTCACCCTTGAAAACATTCAGTGAGATCCTCTTCAGTGGAGAATAGGAACTTTCACAGGTGTATGTGCCTGAGTCCTCTGCCTTGAGGTCAGTCATGGTGACGGAGACGATCTTAGCAGTGGGGTGATCCTTTATTGTAAATCTGTCTGGGATTTGGCTTGGGTACTCGGTGCTTGCCCATAAGTCATAGCATCGCTCATCTTTCAGGCGGCACCAGCGTTTCCACTGATCACCAGAAGTCTTGTCTGTGTAAGGACACTGGACATACAGAGTGCCCCCTTCCCGTCGTCTCTCCTCGGCAGGAGGTGCTTGGGCTTGGAGACCTGTAAATATCAGATGTGCTGAGGGAGAGGGGAGCTGAAGCAGGGCTGCCCACAGCCTTCCCACAGACACAGAGAAACAGGCTCTGACCTTCCCCTGTGGACAGGAAGGACTCCAAAAATCAGAGTCCATTCCCCCTGCCGAATTTACCTGCTTGCAAACAGGAGGGCTGATTTCTGGTGGGCAGTGCTGAGGTTTGAGCTGGGATTGCAGCTGTGGTTTAAAGCCCACAGACAAGTGGTGCTCAAGGTGTTGGACCTTCAAGCCTGACTGGAGACATCCGTGGCACAGTGTTGGGAGCTGTCCCAGCAAACCAGCCCCGTTGTCACTGCTCCTCGTTCAGGCACATGGAGACCAACCCCTGCCCACACAGTGCCCTGGGTGTTGGTGGTCTGTTCAGGGTGGTGGGACAGGGCAGAGGGAAGGAGCCAGAGCAGGTGTGTGCAACCTGCAGCTCCTCAGTGCCACATCCCTGAGGATGCCCAGCAACCCCTGGCTGTGAGGCTGTGCAAGGTGCAGGTTGCCTTGATTCCCCAGCCTACCCCATGCTGGAAGCTTTGTGCTCTCTGCAGGGATTGGGGGCAGGCGGTGCCCATGAACACTGTCCTGATCCAGGGCTGCAATCAGAGGCACTGAGCTGGGCCAGTGTGATGAGAAATCCAACTGGGAGAGCTGCTAGGGCTGCTTTGGAGGTCACAGCTCTGTGCTTCCAGGCTGGTTTGTCCTGGGAGCCTGGAGGAGCCAGATGTGTGTGGTGGGAACTGGGGCTGCCCTTTCCCTCCCCACCCCTGCAAGTGAGTTGCCCCCATCAGAGTCCAGCTGAGGTTGGGGGTTCCCCCACTGTGGAGCTCCCCAGGCAGTGGGAGGTGGGGAAGGATGTCTCCCTCCCCTGGGACATGCCCAGCCCTTCTCTTACCTGGGAAGCAGAGCAGCAGCAGCAGGAGGGCTCTCAGCTCCATGGCCATGCTCAGGCCCAGGGAAGGGGCATTGCTGGGGGCTGCCCACCCTGTCTGCCCCTGTGTGTCTGCCGTGTGGTCCTTCCTGCCTCGCAGTGGCACGGCTGGAGGAAGTGCCTGAGGTCTTGCCTCAGGCGGAAATACCTCCCCATGTTTTGTTACAACATTGATATTAAGATGATTTCTGGGTGCATTTGGGGAAGTGCTGAGCACAGCCTGTCCTGATGTCAAAGGCCCGTTGCTTCTCTCGCCTGGCTGGTGTAATTTGCTTTGTCACTCTGCTCGTCCACCCCCCAGCCATGAGGCTGCCTCCTCTTCCTCCCAGGCGAGTGGGGGACGGGGCTGAGTTTGCTATCCACCAGCAGATCTTGGGCCCCAATGCCCCTGGTTGGTTCTGTGTCCTGGTGTGTGCAGGTGCTCACCAGCTTTTGGGTTGGTTTCGGGGTGTGGGGTTTGTTCTCTCGCACTCCGGTTGCAGCCGGATGTTTCTCTCTAAAACTGCTGCCAGGTGCTCCGAGGTTGCCAGCTGAGGCTGCCAGCACCAGCCCGGCTGTGTCCCTGGAGCACATCCCCAGAGAAGTCCCTCCCTCTGAGACATGGCCATCATGTCCCCAGAGACAACACTGCCTCTGTAAGTCTGTGCTGGGCACTTCTGGCCGGGATCCGTCCCTGGGGAAAGCAGGACAGGGACTTCTTCCCTTAGTGCATCCTCTGAGGTGCTTAAAGGTCCATCTTAAAGAACTGATGAATGCTACTCATACTAAATTTATGGGATTTCCTTTAGGTGCACGTGGGAAGGGAATTATGAGGTTTTAGCTGGACTTGGTCTCTCCAGTTCCCACAGGAAAAGCTCACTCATCATCTATTGAATCTGGCCCTTTTTACTTCAGTGGATATTGTACATGGTTTTCCTGGGCAAACTTGGACTGTTTTAAGATCTTAATGAATTAATTAGATGAATGAATTAATTGGAATACTATGAGCAAATGAATTGTAAATAAATGGATTCAGGGATCTTAGTGCAATGTCACTGTGATGTGCCATAGGGAGGACACACCATCAGCCATATTGCCAAAATTTCCACTGAAAGCAAAGGTAAGGAATGTTGTATCTCAGCATCCCTCTGCATTGCTAATGGAAAAACAGGATCTTTTCCTTATTCAAAATTCAGTTTTTATTATATTGTCAAGGATAACACCAATTTAAGTAAAGAATGATCTGATCTTTCATGGGAAGCAAATATATTTTGGGGTTCAAATTCACAAATATGCACTAAAATGTAGTTCTCCTCAAGCAAAGATTGCTGCCTGGCTGTGAAGGTCTGGTGTAGCAACTGTTCTTTGAGTTGCAGTGTTGGGGGATTCCTTGGTTTCAGTCTATCCTGCTGCATGAGTCAGGAACAGTCCCTTAAAAGAGGAAGGATTTGTGCTGTGTGGCTCAGGGCTGGTTTCACTGCAGTTCAGCCCAGTCCTTGGGATGGCTGGTGGGTTCAGTGTGTGGACCTGAGAGAAAGGGAGGGATCAGGCAGGAAATCAGTTGTCAAAAGATGAGGAGATTCTCCAGCTTCGGTTACAGCTCAGTTCTGTGCTTGGGGACAGAGCTTTTCATACCTATTCAAGCTTTGTGTCTAGAGATACAGTGAGCACAAATATCTATGGAATTATATTCCCTCTGTGGAATAGCTAACAGGCCTGAGCTGGCTCTGCGGAGGCTTCAAAAGGCTGAGGATATAAAAGGTTTGGTAAGGAAACAGAGGCCGTGTCAGTCGTGTGTGATAGTGAATCCCTGCCCCTCATTCCTGGGGGCTGCTGAGGCAGTAGGACACGGGGATTATCCCAGTTCCTCACGCCTTCTCTTACCTGAACAACAGAAGATTGGCAGCAGCAGGAATTTTGGCTCCATGCCTGTCTTGGAGTCTCAGAAACAGGGAGAAATGTTCCGTCTTTTGGCATCCCATAAACTTCCATGTGGCTGATTCTGCATCTGGGTGCTTTGCAGGCCTGGGCTCAACCAGGGAATGGGGAACAGCTTCTTCTGTAGCTTTTCTCCTCCTTTCCCTTGGCCTCCCCAAGAAACTTTGCTCCATGGAAATCCAGGCAAAGCCAGTTCTCCAAGTGAGCAAAGCCACCTGTGGAATCCTCCAGGTCAGTCACTGAGTGTGTGTCAGAGCCACCACCAAAGTCCCCTTTGGTGACAGCTGTCACAGCCCTGGGGGGATGCACTCATGGATGTTTCACAGCTGGCTCTGCCCCAAATAGCTGCTTTGGGAAGCACAAACAGCGAAAGGTCTTGTTTGCCTTGACTCCAAGCTTCCCTGGCCTTTGTCTCTCTAGCTGTTGTGAGGATGCTGGAGGAGGCCTGTCCTTCCACTCTGCTCCCAGACACCTTGTACTTGCCATGCTGGGAATTGTGCCTCTCATCAGCAGGGCTTGGCCAAGTCCCTTCTGCCTCCCCTTGACATCCCTGTGTCCTTCCCTGCCCTTGAAGGCAGTGACAGCAGAGCAGTCAGTGGCAGTGAGTCCTCTGCCAGCACAGTGCTCACAGCAGGGTCCCCTGGGCCAGTACCTGCCCCGCTCCACCAGAGCAGCACAGAGACCGTACTGACACCCTGGCTGCGAAGAATTTCCAATTATATGAATAAGCAGCTTATTAACAATACATTCTGGCTAATCATTTTGTGCTAGATATCTCCGCATTGTCTTGTCCCCAAATCCCTCTCTCATCAGGCACTTGATGCTCAGTAACGAGAAGAGGGAACGCGCTCGTGCTCTTGCGAACAAATCCCAGGAGTCTGCAATTAGTTCAGTTTCTGCAACCGGTTGCCTACAAACTGAGCCAAGAACTGTGCCTCATCCCTTCCCATGGCATTTGCTGCAGCCAGGAGGTCCTTTCTGAGGAGAGGCTCTTTGGGACAGGACAGGTCACGAAGAGATGCCTGCTCAGGACTCGGCATCTTGGAGCAGCAAGAACATAATGAAGGTGGTCCTTTTGCTGCACCTCTGACAGAGGATCAATATGACTTTTAATTATAGAATCACAGAAAAGAAGATGAATGTTATCTCAGAAGGTCACTTAATCCAGCCCGGTGACACAGCTGGATCAGCTCTTTCCATGTAATTTCTAAAGATCTGTTTAACCAGTTGAGGTTGCAGCGTTCCCAGTGACCTGCTCCAGTGCTGCATCAGCCCTATTTGAACATTTCTCCTAACTCTGACTCTCCCTGCTATTTAATGCCGGGGACTCGGAGAGCAGCCCGTGTTAACGTGGGTGGGTCAGCCCGTGGTACCCCGGGTGGATCAGCCCCTGTTAACGCGGGTGGGTCAGCCCGCGGTACCCCGGGTGGGTGGGTCAGCCCGCGGTACCCCGGGTGGGTGGGGTCAGGCCGTGTTAACCCGGGTGGGTGGGTCAGCCCGCGGTTACCTCGGTGGGTGGGTCAGCCCCGTGTTTAACCCGGGTGGATGGGTCAGCCGCGGTACCTCCGGGTTGGATGGGTCAGCGCGTGTTAACTCCGGGTGGGTCATGCCGTGTTAACCCCGGGTGCTCTAGACCCCTGTTTCCCTGGGGGGTCCGCAGGAAGCCGCGTGCTCCGTGCCCGGGGGGGTGTCCGCAAGGTAGCCCGGCGGCCGGGGGGGGCATTATGCGGTCCGCCAGGGGCGGGGGAGGCTCTAGTTGAGATGGGCGGCGCCTCGGGACTGAGCGGCTCCGCTTCTGGCGACGCACCCAGCCACTGGGCACGGACACCTCCCCCTGCCGGGGGTCCTAAGCCTCCGTCCGAGGCCGTCACTGCTGCCGGGTGATTGGGCAAGCCTGTTGCTGTGTAGGGCTCACGTGCCTTGGACTGATATCCGGCTCAGCGAAACTCACCACGTGGGGACCCATCCGGTGGGCACCTGTCTCGCTGCAGTGAGAGTGCCCGACTATTCGGCCGTTCTCCCCGTTCTCCTCGTGCTCGCCTGGCTCTCCGGGGACTAGTGCCCACCCGAGCTCTTAAATCTGTGTCTGGCAGGGTTTTGTAGAGAAGTGTGGATGTTCAGTGGAGACATCCAGAACAGCTGCCCAGAGAATGCTGGTGTGCTTCCCTCCATCCTGGAAGTGTCCAGGCAGTGCTGGTAACTACGGGGCTTGGAGCAACCCGGGATAGTGGAAGGTGTCCCTGCCCATGGCAGGGGGTGGCACTGGGTGCTCATTAACATCTCTTTCAACACAAACCATTCCATGATTCAATGATATTCTTGTCTCACCCTGCAGTGGGCCTTTCTTCCCAAAACTCTGAGCCTGCTGCAATCTTGAGACCTGACTGGTCAGATGATGGAGCCTTCCCGGTCTTTCCTGGGGCATCTCCACCAGCTGCTTCTTCAGCACATCAATACAGATCAACCCTTCACCCTCACCCAGGCCTGATGCTCTGCAGGGATGTGGGGCTGTGGGAATTGATCCTAAATGGTCTTGAAAAAGGAGAATATTAGGATAAGGGAGAAGGAGGAATTCTTTCAGAATAAGGTGGTGTAAGATGGCTCAGGGAAACAGTAGCAGCAGCGAGAGGGAAGCAGGGCTGGGGGAGGAAGGCAGAGCTGGGACCCCACACTGGCCATGTGTGTGGGGGCCGGGGCTGGTGGGCACGCGGGACCCTCGCTCCGTGAGCCGGACACGGGCTGCGGGCTCGGCTCGGCTCTGAAGGAGAAGAGGCCCCACAGCAGCAGCTTAGTGAGGGGCCTGGTGTTTGGTCTGTTCCACATCAATGGGGCGTCCAGCTGTGGCTGAGGATGAAAGCAAGCGAGAGAGAGAGGATTAAAGGCTCCCAGGGTCTCCTCTAACCCGCCTAAGACTCACCAAGAGGGCAGTGTGCGGCTTCAGGAAGGCTTCTTCATATGGAAAATATTATGTGAGGGAGAGAAAGAGGAGGGGGAAGGGAGCAGGGAGAGAGAGAGACTTCTGTCCAGAGAGTGCCGGGGGAAGACTGACCACTAAAAGCACTTTGGAGGTTCAGATCGAGCCCAGGAGAAAGCACTGAGCTCTGCCACACCTGGGAGTGTGACGGGGCACAGGTGTGATGAGTTTGGGGGCCTGCAGACAAGAGCAGAGGAAAAATAAAGGGATGAAAGAAGAGGGAAAGTGGAGAAGGGGAATGAGGAGGCTGGCAAAAGGGAGGTGAAAGGAGAGAGATGGAAGGGGAGGTGGTGAAAGGCGGGCTGATGGCCATGAGGGGAGCGGGAGGTGGTGACAGCCTGGCTGTCTGCTCCATTGTGCAGGATCCAGGTGGGCAGGTGGGAGCCCCACGCTCAGCCCTCCTGGCCCGTTCCCTACCCCGCCACACTGCTCCAGGAATGCCTGTGATGGGGAACAAATTGCTAACAGAAGTGAGACATTTTGCACTGCACACAAGCGAGTTTCCAGT